AAGGGAAGGGAAGGGAAGGGAAGGGAAGGGAAGGGAAGGGAAGGGACGGGACGGGACGGGACGGGACGGGACGGGACGGGACGGGACGGGACGGGAAGGGAAGGGAAGGGAAGGGAAGGGAAGGGAAGGGAAGGGGGCTTCAAATAAAGTACGTTTAGCTCTGCAGCAAACACTTCAGGATACTTTTTGGGTGGTCCTGAGATGGGGAAACTTAGCCAGAGGATCTTCCTGCCCCACCCAAACACCAAGATGTGCCACAAAAGCCAAGAAGAAAATCATACAGTATACATATAAGGATCTACACTTAGTATATAATACTGATTACTGTTTCACTCAGGATGATTACATCATGATTCTAGTATTCCTCTAACAGGTCATATTTTAGATAGGTAATGATTGCATCCACATGTTATTACATACCCATGATTCTTTTAGCACCCCTGACAATCCAGCCGTTATCACGCTCACGCTGCTGGACCAAAAGCCGACTCCCCGCTTCACATTTCACTAAGCAGCCCAGCCCGGCCCTGCCCGGCCCGGCTCGGCTCTCACCTTGTTGCCGGTGTTGTACATCGCGACCAGGCAGAGGAGGTGGTACAGGTGCCCGCACTTGCCCAGCTTCCCCACCAGCTCTGGCTTGGCACCTTTGTGCCTGAGGATCCCCTCGTAGCCCGAGGAGGACACCAGCCTCTCCATGCAGATGGTACAGTCCTGTCCAGGCAGACACAGGTGGGGTGTGAGTGGGGACCACAGGGAGAAGGGTGCTGAGCAAACTGCAGGCAGCCCCATCACTAAGGTGAGGCGGAGAGAGCATGATCAATTAAGGCAAAGTCACCCACTGAGATGCAAATGGGGGGTCCTACTCCCACCCAACTTTAATCAGTGCCCTACTCCACCCCAGCTGGCACAAGGTTTGGGACTGGTCAGGGGGGCAGAGTGGGACTCACCTCATCGGGAGGATTCTTCACCTTCTGGATATAACGCCGCACCACGTCCTCGGGGTTCTTGCCTGCACAAAGCAGAAGAAGGTCATGGCCAGATCGGATGTATTTTATTATTATTACGTTGTGAGCCGCCCCGAGGCTACGGCAAGGGCGGCACAGAAATGTTTTAATGAATAAATAAATAAATAAAAATGTAATTCCAGCGTTTTAATCCTGCTCCACAGCCAAACCAGGCTTCGAGAGCAGCTTATAAGCAGTTAACATGGCAATCCCCACCTGCAAAACTCTAAAAAGCCACAACATGCAAGGAAATAAGGACAAGGAGGGAAGAGGAATTGATGAAATGAGTTTTCACTAGGGCAGCTGAATGGGATGCTGAAATCTCCCAGGTGGGGCGGAGGAGCAGTTCAACTGGAGCAGAGCCTCCCTCCCTCGCTCCGTCCTTCCCAAAGGGCCATCCATGCAGGGTGGTGACCCCCAAGTGACTTTTATATTGATTGATATATTTATTTGCTCACTTGCTTAAGCATTTAATGTATTTATCCGGAAGCCATTTCATCAGGGTGTAGAAGCTGGAGAGAAAGCAAGCTGAGCCTCGCTAAGAAACCACAGCTTCACCTAGCTTTGCCTCCCTTAGCCGTTCCATCAGGCTGCAGCAGAGAGAGGGACAAGAAGGACCATCATCCTGTTTGAAACCGGTGAGCCTGAGGCCAGGGGCTGTCTTTTTTTGTTTGTTTTTAAACTTGCTGTGTGAGCTTTTCTGGAAGACTTTCCACTTGAAGAGCAGGTTATAAATATTTGAAAGTGGCACATGAACAGCAACGATAGCCCACCTTTCTGCCTGACGACAGACCTCCCAGGCAGCTCACCGCAAGCAAGAATGGATACATAACAACACCCGCAAAGACTCTTTCAAAAGGCAGTTGTGACTTAGGAAGGCTTTAGAGGGACGAGAGAAACAGAGCGAGTCAGAAGGGGCCTCCTGGGCCATCTAGTCTGACCCCCAGCTCCAGCCGGCTCCGCTCACGTCATGCCTCCCATGTGCATGTCCAGCCTTGTGCATGATGAAGAAACAGGTCCACTCCCCAGGCCTTAGAAGCCGCTGCCGCTGCCCCACTGCTGTGTGGTGTGGTGGTGTAGCGGAACCCAGGCTCCTAGGGCTAATGCATGATGGCTTTTTCATTAGCAGGGTTGCTGAAGTCACCTGCCACCCTTCTCAGAGTTCCCGGTTCCCATCTGAGCTTAGTTCAATCTTCACCGCAGCTGGAGGTGGAGGAAACCTGGCCTTTCCAGCAAGGATATATTTTGAGCTCTTCTTGTTATGATGCAAAGTATTTTGGGGATGCTTAGTCTTGAATGGGTGGTGAAGACCCATTCACCTCGCAAAAGGCCTGATCCTGCTGCAGCTCAACCTGTCAGAAGGAGTGGGCTGATAGGAGCCCATACCTAGCTGTCTGCATCTTTATTTATTTTTATTTATTTAAAACATTTCTATGCCGCCCCCATCGCAACAAAGCCTTGGGGCAGCTCACAAAAAATATTCGGGGCGGCTCACAAAAAATCGTAGGAGTCTCCACAGGATGTCCATGGGGCCTTTCTCAGGAAGTACCTGCACATCCACATGTATCTCTGCACTGCTCTTATGGTGTCCTGCAGACTTCCAATCCCCTCCATTTTTTGAGAACAGGTCATATCCATTATTCTTCTGCCATTCTAGACCCTACATTTTGCATTTTGGGCCTGCCCTTCTTGCAAGGGGACATAAGGTGCAATATAAATATAATGATTGCTCAGTATTTCAATGTTCTATTGTATTTCAATGTATTTTATTGTGTTGTAAGCCGCCCCGAGGCTTCGGCAAGGGGCGGCATAGAAATGTTATAATAATAATAATAATAATAATAATAATAATAATAATATTTACATCCTACTGTTTTTCCTCATGTAAGGTGCCCAAGCTGGCTTAAATGATCCCCTTCTCCCCAGTTTATCCTCATACCACCCTATAAGACACTTTGGCTGGGAGTCCATCACCATCCCAGAGTAGCTCAGTGAGTTTCATGGCCAACCAGGGACCAGAAGTCAAATCCTATTCGCTAACCACTACACCACACTACTCTCACACTCTGCAGTGGCTCACCTATGAACTTGCCATTTGACCAACCTGTTATTTCACTTCACAGAGAAGCTGGAAGGCAGGCAGAGAAACTGCCGCAGAGAGCAGCAATGGACCCCCCCGGGTTCGTGTGCATGTCGGAATACGCTTCTGGCCCACAGATCCTTTCTGGGAAAATATCTGTGGCCGCTAAGCACTGGCCATTCTGGCGGGGAGAGACTGGGAGCTGCAAGCCAACACATCTGGAATGGCACCAGGCTGAGGAAGGCTGAATTAGAGGTTTGCTTAAAATTGACTCATGCAGAGAATTTTTAATTAAATTCATACTGAGAGTTTAATGAAGCTGCAGATGTGGCTGATGGGCGACAACCTTGGCAATGGGTTCCTAGGAATTCTGCCTGCTGTGCCCCTGGGAGCCAATTTTAGAAAAGGCCCCGCAGGCTGCCTAGCTCAACTCCCTGCTAAATGCGAGGACTGCAGTGCAGGATGCGACCTAAACAAGCATCCCCTCCCCACTTCCCCTTCAGCACTGCCAGCAACGGAGAGTTCAAAAGCTCAGACGTTCAGCCTGTCGAAACTTAGTATTTTCACAGTTGTCCACAACACTGGGGAACTTGCTAAGATGCTTGGGCTCTCTCTTGGGGAAAGGAAACCTTCCCCTGTAGGCGATCCTTATTAACTGAGGCTGCAATCCTGCACCATTCACCAGGGAATTACCTCCACTGAACTCAGTAGGACTTACTTCCAAGCAGACAAGTCTAGGTTTGTGTTGATACAGACCTGTGTGAGATTCTTGCAAAAATATTTCTATACCTGGTGCAGCTCTCTCTCCCTCCCTCCAACATGCCAAAAAATCATCCTTCCAACCGACGCTTGATCTCCTATAGGAAAATTGTTCTTGGGTGCACCTTGTTCCAATCCCCTTTAACCCCAGTCCTTGTAAAGGTATTTATGCATAACTGTCAAAATGTGATGAGAACATGCATTCATGAGCACATGAAAATGCACATGATATTGAAAACTGAGGCAAAAAGGGTTACGGACAGACGGCAGCTAAAGTTGGATATGCTTCTGATTTACACCCATAATTCTTGACCAGGCGAGGAATGGCATCCAGAACACTGCTTCCCTGGATTGCACTGGACATCTACACCGCTCAAGGCTGGTGGGCAACCTGCAGTTCATAGTCCTCCTCCAAGTGTTCTCTTCCACGGTTGTGACAGCAAAACCAACCAAACAACCAAACTCTGGAGTTTCGCCACTAAATCGTGTCTTCAAACCACTGCAGGGGCTTAAAAAGGCCCAGATCCACCAGCGTATACTCAGCTGTGTGGGCATTTTGCCTTGATGGGCCCCCAATGGGCCTTTCCATGATGCCTGAAAGCACTTGACACAGCACCCCACTGGGGCATTATGGGAAACTCTCCGAAGGCATCCCTCAGATCAGCCACCTGCCCAAGGTCTGTGGCCCCGGCTGGGGAATCTGACTACAGGCGCCCACCCCAAAAGCCGCCACCTGGGGGTTTAGGAAGGCCCCACTTACTCTTTTTCAGGTGCTTCTTCTTGGTCTTCCGGGATATCCCAGTGATGCCGGGCACTGGCTTCACATCGCTCTTATTGACGGGCGGCGGATGCAGGATGGGCTTCGGGGCTCGAGTGAGGCAGACGGGCAGGCCGGCGGCACACATCAGGATGCCCGTCATTCCTAGCCCAGAAAGAGCGAGCGAGCGAGCGAGCGAGCGAGAGAGAGAAAGAAAGAAAGAAAGAAAGAAAGAAAGAAAGAAAGACAGGTCGCAGTTGGGGAAGCTCAAGGCAAGGGGGAGATGCGCTGCCCAGAACTGGAGCCTCTGGGGACGGGTGCTGAGCCATTTCCGCATTCCACTTTCCAGTTCTTCTGTGTGGAAGCCTCCACACCAGGGGCAAAGAACCTCCATCCTTGGCAGGGTTTTCTCTAGCTGTGGGGCTACGGACCCAGATCCTTTCTTTCTTAGAGTTCCAGATCTATTCCACAAACTCACATATTTTTTTTCCTGCCAGGTTAATCAATCAACTTTATTTTTACCGATTTTACTACATTTCTGTCCTGCCTTTGTCTTTTCAAGGAATGCAAAGCATTTTACATAATTTTCCTCTTCCTCCTCTTCTCAATCTTATCCTCACAACAACAACCCTGTGAGGTAGGCCAGGCTGAGTCTGGGACTGGTCCAAAGTCACCCGGTGAGCTCCACGGCTGAGTGGGGACCAGGACCCACATCTCCTGAGTCCCAGTCCAATGCTCTAACCACTAACTCCTCTGTCATAGCAGGGAAATTTTTCAAGGAAGCTCGGATGTGCTTAACTCTCCCCTTCCCACATGTTGCCATGTGTCTCTCCCTGCTCAAAAAAATTAAATAAAATCTGATCCCCAAATTGCAATACACTTAGGAGAAAACAAAGCCTATTATTTTGGGTCCAAATGAATCCAAGTGTTTGTAGTATTAGGAATAATTTGGACGAGAAATGAATCAGCTTTGCTTTTGACCTCAGATAACATTTTTAAGATCCTAGTCATGATTTTGGGTCAAAGGTGTGAATTGGCATATGCTGATTTTACAGGGATTTGGAGACCCCCAGCTGCTTCCGTGCCAAATCCGCCTCTTCCAGGTCCCAAGCCAGCCACCCTTCGTGTCCTGAGGACTAATCATGGGAAGGTTTCCTGGCTTCCCTCTGGCACTCAAAGAGGTTGGAAGTAAGAGCAGTGAGAGCTTCGAGCTGAACTATGCTGGTACTTCAGGGTATTTCTGTCCCGTCTCTTTCACCTGAGCCCTGGCATCAATGCTGAGAACTTCTCAGCAAGGAATTTGTCCCCTGGGCTGAAAGAGGGGCCCAGAGGAGGGCGATGCTCACAAGTGCCTTTGACCAGATCAGTTTCCTCGCCGGGTCCTAGTTTGCCCCCTGCAACCTCCCCCAACATCTGCAGGCCCCCCATGGTCCCAGAAGAACCTGCCCATGAGTGCTGGTAGAAGGGGTCTGTGGCAGCCAACATTTCCCAGAATGCCCCTGGACAATGCTACATGGAGGGCATTCTGGGAAATGAATGCAGCACCTCCCAGAGCCAGCTGCCCTGTGCTGATGGGAACACTGGAAGACATTTGTTTTTAACAGAGGCCAAATGTGGGGAGCACTGGGGGGCACTGCGGTAGCATTAGGCACAGCCACTGGCCCCTATTGGCCAAGCAGCTCCCCTTACCTAGCCCCAAAGCTATGGGTGTCGCTCCTGCTGCATCACCTGAGTGGTCTTACCTGCTAAGGCAGGGTGCACCGGACCCGTTCCATTCAGGTTCTTGACTGGGAGGGCAGGAACTCTGCAAGAGAAAGAGGGTGGAGTGAATCGGGACCTGTTCTCTGGTCTCTGCAACATTCCGTATAGCCTGAAGTGCCTGGTCCTGCCTAATCTTGGAAGCTAAGCAAGGTCAGGCCTGGCTGAAACCTGGATGTGGGACTTGAACGCTATGAACTGCCCAGAGGGTTTTGACTGCGGGTGGTATAGAAAAGATGATGGTGGTGGTGATGATGATGATTCCTGTCCCACCTTTCCTCCAAAAGCCCAAGGCGATGGACATCTTCCTCCTTTCCATTTCCTCCTCACAAGAGAGATGAGGCTGAGCATTAGTGACTGGCCCAGAGTCGCCCCATGAGCTTCATTGTTAAGTAGGGACCAGAACCCAAATCACCCCGCTTCCAGGCCAATTCTCTAGCCACCACACCACCCTCCAGCAAGAGTGTGGCCATCAAACCAGGATCCCTTCACATGTAACCATGTGCTGAGCAATCAGGGATCTCCAGCCCTTCTGAGGTTTTGTGCGCATCTGGAATTCCAAGACAGTGTCACAATCCCACTCACAAGACGCCCACCAGAACGGTTGTCTGAGGTGGTCCATTCATAAAACATCTGCCCCAATAGGCAAACCCATTCACAACACCTGTTTCCCAGAAAGCAAACCACTAAACGCTAAACACAAAAAGGCATTGGCCCCAGAACCCAAGTCCAAGGCAGGCGTGTGATCTGAACTCCTCGACGGACTTACCATCCGATTTGAGGTATCAATTGGTTTTGCACTCCAAGAGCCACCAGCCCCAGTCTGCATGGCCAATGCCCAGGAATGATGGAAGGTGTAGTCCAGCAACAACAAAGTCTCCACACTCTTGTGCTAGCGCTACTTGTGAGTATTTCGGTCTCCTTTGGTTTTGAAATCCTTCATATGCACTATAAGCTTTCCCACCACTGAGGAGCCTGCAGCAGGGAGGCAGCGGCCACTAGAGTTGGGGGTCTGGCTAGCTTCCTTCTCACCCTGCCCTGCTCTGAGGAAGAAGAACCAATGTTTTTGTTATGCTCTGGCTAGCAGCCGGGGCACCAAGCTCTTGGGCAATGTGCTGAGCTTTGTTCCCTTTAGGAGTCATGTTGGCTGATAGGATGGGATGGAGCTCCTTCCAGGGAAACATGGCTCCTGCTTGGGCATGGGGCCACCAGACAAGAACTATTGTGACCGTACGTCATCATAAGGGCATTGAGACCACCAGCAGAAAAGCCCAACGTTCCTCAAAGATCCATTTTAGATCCAAGAGCTCAGTGTATGGAACCTGCGCTCTGGCCTGCTTGATGAGATGCCATTCCTATCGCTAGGTCTGCTCAATGCAGTTCCTGTCTCAGAGTCACCCTCACCACAACGCTGTGAGGTAGGCCAGTGCTATTATGCCATATTGCCAATGCTTGGCTGAGAATTGGTGGCTTGCCAGAGATCATCTAGAAAGTCCATCACAGAGGTGAGGTTGGGACCAGGGACTCTGCCACTTGACATTGCTAGTGCCGCTCTAATGCCCACCTTGTGCAGAATGAGCACTTCAGAAAAGGAAGAAAGAGAAGTCGAGCGCAACCTCTGGTGAGAGGCACTGAAGAGTCTCAGGAGACCTTTTGGTCAAGACTGCAGCAGGAGAGCTAAGGGTTAAGCACCTGCCTGAGTGAGGGGTGGGACTAGATGACCTCCAAAGTCATTGACAACATCCTATGAATTCCTCTGCTCTTCCCAGGGATCCTGATAAGAATCAGCCCCCAGGTCTCTCCAGTGGCCCTTAGAAATGAACCCCAAACAGGACAAGGCGAGCTCATTACCTGCAGAGGTGTCTTCCGAGTCAGCTCTAGGACCGCCTTTATCGCTACTATGCTATAAACCCGAAAGGAGCTTTCTGGGAACAAACTGGGGACCCTGATGTTCTTCTGACAGGACACGCGGTGAATGGTGAACAACCCACAATTCACAACTCACCAACAAACCATGGGTTCTGTTCATGGGTTCCATGGGTTCCATGGCTAACAATCCACGGCTTGTTTGGGCAGCTAGATCCAGAAACAGGATCATCCATGGTTCAACAACAACCCATGCTCAGCTCACAAGGAACCCATCCTCAACCCTTGAATGTGGGCTGCCCTGTCAACAGAACCAAGCCAAGATAACAAACCATGGTGAACAACCCATAATTCACAACCCAGCAAGAAAGTATGAGTTCTCTTTGTGGGTTGTACATAATTAACAAGCCATGGTTTGTTTGGGCAGGATTCAGACAACACGGTAACCCATGTTTTAACAACAACCTACATTCAACCCATGGGGTTTTCATGGCAAAGATACTGGAGTGGGTTGCCATTTCCTTCTCCAGTGGATCACGTTTTGTCAGAGCTCTCTGCTACGACCTGCCCGTCTTGGGTGGCCCTGCAAGGCAGAGCTCATAACTTCATTACGCTACGCAAGCCCCTTCACCACGACAAGGCAGTGATCCATGAAGGAGAACAAAAGAAGAAGGGGATGGCAGAGGATGAGGTGGCTGGATGGAGTCACTGAGGCAGTCGGCGTGAGCTTAAGTGGACTCCGCGGGATGGAGGAGGACAGGAAGGCCTGGAGGAATGTTGTCCCTGGGGTCGCGATGGGTCGGACACGACTTCGCGACTAATAACAAACACTCAACCCATACTGAGTTGTCTGAACCCAGCCCCTAATAGCCCCCAATGTTTGTAAACCAGGTGGTTTACACACATTAAAACCCCACCAATCCTAAAATAAATAAATTGGCTACACCACGACTGAGTATAAAATAACATGGTTAAAGTGAATTAAACAAATAAATACACCATTAAAATTAATTAACGTTAAAATATTGGTTAAATAAAAAGTCTTGACCTGGCGCCGAAAAGCATATAATGACGGAGCCAGGCGGACCTCGGGGCAGATTGCAGGGGTGGAAAGAAGCAGCAACTCCAGGGAGCTCTCCTCTGTGGGCCCCTACTGGATGGGGGTCCTTGGCCCAGGCCCCACCATGCCAACCAATGGCGCTGGCCCTGTGTGTAGAGGGCACACTCACCTCATCGCAAGCTTGGTCTTCATGGCTGCTTCCTCTCGCTCTGGGAATGGAAAACTACGAAGTGGAGAGAGAGGCTGCCCAGTCTCCCTGGAACTGGATTAGGAGGCCAACAGGTTCAGGGCTTAATATAGGAGCATAATCTCCTTTGGGAGTGTCAGAACTGGCATGCCTCTCCCCCCCCCCCCCCCCGCCAGTAATTTCACGTCTGTGGAAGGAAGGGGATGCCCAGAAATGGCCGGCCACTGACCCGGTCATTAAGAAAGGAGGGAAATCGTGAGGCCGTGGGGTTTAGTTTAGTTTAGTTTTTCAACGGAGGGGCTAAGGGAACCGAGCGCCTTGCAGAGGTAACTGAGCTCCGGGAAGGTCAAAAGCTGACCCCATTCCCTTTTGCTCAACATGCCCACAATCCAGCTGAAGTATGGTAAATCCCATTAGCTCCCTGGAAGGGGGTTAAGGACTCACATTAATTCTCCCCATGGGAATGAATGAGCCTTAAGAGTGCTTCCTTGGGGCTGGATCGGGCCTTCTGTGTTTCGTTTTAACCTTGCAGTGCCTTTGAGCCCAGGGGCAGAGGTTCTGCTGCATTAGGAAGCAAAGGGGACGGATGCGGATATACACCCGAAAATGGGGGCTTGGCAGATTCCCTCCCCTTGCAAGAAGCTTGCAAACACTTGGCATGCACACACAGACCTCTGAGATAAAGACAGGCTAGGAAATCTCTGCTCTTATTAGTGCTCTTATGAATGAAACGTGAGTTCCCGGTTGTTGGCCGAGGCGTTACGGAACGTTTCAGAACATCCCAACTGCTCGGAAGACGTGCCTGCCATGCACGACATTTACATGGCTCTTCACGTCATACGCCTCTGTCGACCGTGCCCTCTTAGGGACGAAATCGGCTTTGTTAACTCTAATTTGTGCCAGATTATGGCCCATCCCAGAATGCTCTCCCGACTGAAGTAATCTTTTAATCAGAGCTATTTAGGTCTTGTTACTAGACTCTTGGAGATCCACAAAAGAATATATTGCAAGTTCAGGGCTATCCAACAGGGGAAGGTCCAGAGACACCTGCTTTCGGGGGATAGTCTCAGTTTTAAACTGAATAAAATACTGATCGCATGCTTAAAACAGCTGGCCTGGGGCTGAACAGAGCCACACTCTGCCACCTGCAGCTGGGCTGTTTAGTCTGACGACAAGACTAAACTTCCGTCTCTTTCATATTAATCTGAGCCTCTTGTAAGAGGAGTATGCAAATAAGAACAAGAAAAAAAAGTCAGACCAGCTACCTTAATATCTCGCCTTTCTGCCTCCTGCAAGGAACAGAGGGCATCTGCTGTAGTCCTCCTCATCCCCATTTTATCCTCACAACGACCCTGTGAGGTAGGCCAGGCTGAGATTCTGCAGCTGGCCCAAGGTGAGTTTTGCTGCCAAGTGGGGGATTAGAACCCAGATCTCCAAGTCTCAGTCTAGCATTCTGACCACTACATCACCCTCGTTCTCAATCACAGACGCTAATAATTGTAGGATAAGACGACGTCCCTGGTCAACACGGGCCCCTATTCTGCCTTGGGTGGTGTGTTGTGAGTGCAATGAAGGCAAACAAGGAACAGCGGGAGTGGGAGGCTCCATAAACTGGAAAAGATGGACAATTTTCCCTTCCTGGTTGTGACAGCCTGCACTGACTGGTTTCAGGCTCCCAGGGACTCCGATCTCTGCCCCATTTGATGCCTCAAACTGGGATGCGAGAGACTAAAGCAGGGGCTTTGGGTGAATGCAAAGCGCACCTGTGCCCCTTCCCCTCGGCAGTGCTGGGCCGGCCCGGCCGTTCAGTCCGCAGACAGGTGGATCCTTGCCCCGAGCTCAGGAGCAGCACTTAGGAAAGGCAGAGCCGCTTCTGCCTCCAGGCTGGTGCTTCTCCCTGCAGGGCACATGGGCCCTCCAGATGCGCAGGCAA